CAAGTCATTTCACATTTGGCCAAGCAGAGCTTTGCCGTTTCCTATTTTCCTCCCTTCCTTACACAAAGGCGCAGGCCTGAAAGGACCGCGGGGCGCTGGTGGGTTCCGAGGAAACCGCACGGCTGCATTTCCTGGGGTTGAATCAGACACTGATTAAACCTCCATCCCCTGTGCTGCGAGCCCTGAAACGGATGGGAAGGGGAGGCATCACCCTGGGCATTCTGAGTTGGGGGACGGGCCTGGTCGGGTTCAGGTACAGAGCTGCAGGCGTGCAGCTCCCCAGCAGCTCCCCAGCGAGCGGGTCAGGTGTGTTTGTGGCTGGGAGAAAGGCCAGCCCCCGAGGCTGAGCGAGCCCGTTGAAAAGGCCAGCGTCCCGGGAGGCGCTGCCTAAGTCGTCACCCATGAAGCGTTCAGTGCCTGTGCTTCCCGCGGACTGACTTATCACCCCACTTGGAAAAGGGAGACACTCGAGCACAACAGACACCCACGCCGCCGAGTGTCCACTGCCACCCCCTCCCAGATGCCTGTGCCCCTGCTGCCTTCTGAGGAGACACCAAACACTGGCACGATGTCACAGGGCCAACCCAGCACAGCAAAGTGACCCCTCCCCCACACCCCTTGGCTCTCTCAAAACCACAGAGATCTCTGGCTGGTGTGGCTCAGTGGACTGAGCGCCAGCCTGAAAACCAAAAGGTCGCCGGTTCGATTCCCAGTCAGGGCGCATGCCTGGGTTGCAGGCCAGGTCCCCAGTAGGGGGGCGCATGAGAAGCAACTGATCTATGTATCTTTCGCACATTAGTGTTTCTCTCCCTCTCCCTGCCTGCCCCTCTCTCTGAAAGTAAATAAATAAAAATCTTTAAAAAATATTTTTAAAACCATCCCCCAGAGACCCCTTTCAGAGCCCCTTGGGTAGCCTCAGAGAATGGAACCCTCCTGTCACCCCCGCCAGAAGCCCTGGATAACTTCCAGGTGGAATATTCGGGCCCGAGTCCCCCCGCAGGAGCGAGATGGCAGGGACCACGCACTACATCCGTGAGCCCAGGGGCGGAGGATGGGGGTCCGAGGTTTGCCTCTGTGTTCTCTGCACCTTGCGAGACACTCAGCCCGCAGACATTTGAAAAACGTTCACGGAATGACTAAATGGACCTCCCAGGCCTTTATCTACGGGGACACCGCACGGACCCTGGTGTCTTTCCAAACTCCGCTGTGAGGAAACGTTTGGCCGTTTCTAGATGGAAGCCCTTCCTTCCCCCGAGGGATGTGTGGATGGGACTTCCAGGGAAAGGGTCTCATCTTCCCATGTACCAGCTGAGCTAACAGAAGCATCTCTGAGAGCCGGGAGCCTCCAAGTTCAAGTGGTGACTTGCGCTATCTGACCCCTGGCCCTTCCTATCTGCCTCACAGTGGCAGTCATGTGACCTCTGGTGGCAGTGGGGGCTCTCCGGGCAGCCCCCCAGAAGCTGGGGTTTCTACAGGGAGACTAGCTAGACTGGAAAGACAGATTCCCTGCTCCCCTCCCTGGTGAGAACCCTTTAACATTTTTTTGACTCTTTGGAAAATGGGTGTAAACCTATCACATTGGGTTTCCCCGTTGAACTGTAAAGCCATCGGAGCAAGTGAATTAGACAATGGACCCCAGGTCCACAGAATGGACCTTCAAGTTCATGAGCTCTGAAGTGACAGAGACTCATGTTCGAGTCCCAGCTCCCCCACCTGCTTGCTGTGTGACGTCGGGCCAACGGCGGAACCTCTGGCAGTCAGGGTTTGCTCACCAGCAAAGCGGGGTTAAAAAGTACCTGCCGCCCGAGGGCGACCGATTCTGTGTCAAGCACTTTGATACTAAGCCCTCAAACTGAAGGGCAATTATTATTGTTCGGTATTGCCTCTCATTGTCGGGGCTTCACCTTGGACAAGCAGAGCTAAAAAGCACCCGAAAACCGAAACAGCATCGGAGCAGCCAGAACCGCACCCCGGTGTGTATGCGCAAAAGCCTGGGTGCTGGATCCGCCGGCCATGCCCGGGTGCTCGCTTGTTTCTTGTGACTCTGGGCACAATTTCAGAGCAAGGGTAATGGTGGGCACATGGTTGACCACCTACTATGTGCCGCACACTTCCCTAGCTGCGTTGTATTTGCCATCACGCTGGATCCTCACAGTCCCACGAGGTGAGGACGATGGCCTCCCCTACTTTACCGCTGAGTTGATGGAGGCTGATGGAAGGAAGCTCAGGGACTTGTCCTGAGTCAAAATGGGTAAGAAGGAGGCCAGGACACGCGCCCAGCCAGTCACACGTCCATGTACACTCCTCATCCATACGCCGCACCAGCTCCACAACCACCTGGCTGAGCCCACAGCCCGGCTCAGGGCAGGTGAGGAGCCAGAGGTGGGGGTAGGGAACGCTGCAGAGCCAGGGGCAGCAGCGGCTGATGGACGGATGGCTGCACAGTGAGACCGGGAACAGAGAGGGGTGAACAGCTGAAGGGGAAGGACGTCCCCAGCACAGCTGACCACGCCCAGCCACCGAAGGGGTCAGGACGGCCCTGTGGACCTAAGAGCCCCCGGGAGCCCGTCCCGATTCCGCAGCACAGTGCAACCAGGTCCACGAACGCCGTCAAGGAAACCCCACCGAGGGCCAGGGAAGGCAGAAGAGCGGGGGAAACCGGCATGGGCGGTGTATCAAAGGGCCCGATCCCCTCGGAACGGCCCCTCTGCGTTGAGTGCCCTGTGACGATTTGCATAAATGAGGCCCCGCTTTTTAAAAAGATGATGTGCCATTTGAGGAAGAGTTAAAGAAATACCAACACCCAGGGGCCCCTGGGTAAGTGTTTTGTGACTCTTATCTCTTCTTTGAACCCATTGCTAATCTCATGCAGCTTCTATCCACTCTTTTTTTTTTTTTAAGATTTCATTTATTTATTTTTAGGGAGGGAAGGGAGGGAGGGAAAGAGAGAGAGAGAGAAACATCAATGTGCGGTTGCTGGGGGTTATGGCCTGCAACCCAGGAATGTACGCTGGCTGGGAATTGAACCTGGGACACTTTGGTTCCCAGCCCGCTCTCAATCCACTGAGCTACGCCAGCCAGGGCTCTATCCACTCTTGAGTCAAAAACCCTTTAGTCCGCCCCGTGCCTCTCAGTTCAGAGCCAGGCTTTGGCACCGTGAACCAGAGGAGCATGTGACGCTCTCACGAATGAATTCCACCAGATAGCGTAAATGGGCGTTGGTGGAAAATATAGATGTAAAGATTGTTTTTTTAAAAAGTGAGATAAAAAAGCATGATGTGACTTGGTACAAGCAGCTGTCACCCTGCATCATCAGCCTCCCCGCCTCAGGCATAGCCCAGGCGGGCAGAAGAAAAGGGACCCAGGACATGGGATTCCAGTCTGAGGCCCATCACAGCCCCCCGTTCAGAACCTCAGCGCGGCGTCCCCTGAAGTTCCATTTTGTGCGACATCTCTTCACATCACCTTCTCTGGGCGCCGTAAAAACTGCTTTCAGAGTCTCAAAAGGAAGCTTATCAGAACAGGACTGCTTGAAAGGCATTTAAACCAAATCCGAAAAGATTTTCAAGTAGGCGGTCCCAACGGCTAGGGGGTAACAATGACCCCTTTAAGCAACCCCGGATTCCTGGCCATCTGAGCCGGTGGAGACCTCCTGGAGCCAGGAGCCCCTCTCCTCGGTAGGGCCTTGCTCACCTGGGCAGGCCAGCTGCGTCCAGGCAACAGAACAGCCGTTTCCGTGGAAACAGAGGGGCTGCCCGTACCCCTCCGGATTTAGGGTTGTCAGATTTCACAAACAAAAACATCGGACACTTGGCCATATTTGCATTTCAGATCAACAAAAAACAATGGTTGGCCGGAAGTAAGTCCCATGCAATATTTAGAACATGTTCATATAAAAAAAATTATTCGTTGTTTATCTGAAATTCAGATTTAACTGGCGTCCTGTACTTTATCTGACATTTGGACTGTGGATTCTGATGCTTTAGGGGTTTGGGGATGGGTGAGAAGTGGGGGTGAGCGGGGGCATCCTGGCTCCTGGGAGCACCAGGCCCCCCATGCTCCCCGACCCTTGTGTCCAAGGTGGCGCCATGGCTCCAGCCAACCCATCCGAGTCTCGTGTAGGAGATGCCTTCCCTGACCCCTCTGGCCGTCCCCTCCCCGACACACCTCCCGCACTGAGGTGCGCAGGGCAGAAATGCTGCTTGTGAGAATCCGCCTGCTTCCACATCCTATTGTGGCTCATTTTGTTTCCCGAGAAAGACTTGGGAGGGCCTCCGGACCGGAGACTTCCTTTCCTTTTTATCTTCCCACACAGACCCCCGCTCCCACCCACAGTACTCAAGAGACGCCAAGAAACAAATGGGTGTTGGTTCTCTTCCGTCATTGTTTCAAGACCCCGAGTTCAAGGGCGGCCTGAGCCAGCACATGCAGCTGGTCTGGTGGGAGTCGTTAGGGGTGCTGCACCCACAGAGGCGGGCCTGCCTGCTCCCCTCACTGCTCATTAGTGATCGCTGCTGAACCCCACTGTAAGATAACCACATATATCTAACAGACGCAGGGAGGACAGAGCTTCTGCGTCTGTGCTTGTAGCAAACGTACTTACCGCGAAGCCACAAAATGCCCAGAAACAGGAAGACACATTGAACAGTAATAAAACGAGGGGGTGAGGTGAATGATGCCGTAACACAGTCTGTTTACATTTGGTGCAGAGAAAATGAATTTTTGAAGACATGTCATTTAACTTTGCAATATTTTTGCAGTTGAACCTCTAATGCACGAAACTTTTCTTTCTTATCCCTGAAGCTGAAGGAAAGGGGAAGTGGGTTTTGTGTCTGGTTGTAAGATAGGGTTCCCTGGGCCCCCGCCCAGGACGGAGGCAAATGAAGTGTCTGCAGTGAACACAAGTGATCACCGACCGTGCTTCTCAGCTCCTCGCCTCTTAGGGAGACAGACAGAATCGTCCAAAACTCAACTTCCAAAAGAATAATAATATGTGTTACCTTCCAGAGAAAGGCACTGGGGCGGGCTGGACGACCAGATAAGGTTGTGTAAGCACTCCACGTACGCCGAGCCGTCGAGTTTGAAGCCGGGGAAGCAGTGATAGGAGATGACGGTCCCCACGGGGAAGGACGTCTGGTACTCGGTGATGTTCACGTAGCCATTGGAGTAGGCCGGCGGCCTCAGGCAGCCTGTGATAAGGGAAAGGAACACGGGGAAGTCTCACTCGGTCCTCTCTGCACACTGGAAAGCTAAACACAGCACTGGATTTCTCTCGGGTTCCCGTCCTCTGAGCGCGCCCTCTGAGGAGGGAACACCTTGAATGTGCAGACTCCCTGTGGACTTCCCTATTCTACCTGCAATGCATTAATGTGACGTTATAGTTGCAAATGGCACTAGAGGCTCGGGAGCAGGGAGCCGTGAGGAAGGGTGTAGCTGGTTGGACTTTTATCAAACAACAAGGTTTGGCCCCGTACCCAGGGTCGGTGAGCAGCCCAGGCTCCCCTATCTTTCCTACCTCTGCTAGTTCCCCAAGTGAGGGCATCAGGGTTGACAACCACCGAGGTGGCACGGAGGAACGAGACGCCCTACTAGTTGGACCACAGAGGTGTGGTCTTGAGAGGGTTACTACACAGACTCATTCCTCTGCCTCGGAATATGGGGCAGGTGCCCTGTACGATGCGATGACGTTAAACTTTTGAAAACCCAGCTGTGTTTCACGGGGAACAGGTAAGGAAACCTAGGGTGTGGCAGCTCTTACACTTGAGAATGACCCAGAAGGAGGGTCTGTTAGGACACAGAGCTGCCGGTCCCATGGGTTCTCATGGGCCCCAGGATTTGCATGACTGAGGTCTCCGTGGGCAGTGGAGCAGCAGCTGCCAGAGGCCTGGGGACGGGGCCCCCAAGCCCCTCCCTCCGTGAGGCCGAGGTCCGTGGGAATCCGAGTGCTCTCTGAGGGGAAGTAAACCAGGGGGCGCACTCCTAGTCTGAAAACAGTCGCTGCCTTTTTGGTCTTGAAGCCCGTGTAGCCCAGGGGGACGTCCCCACTGGCACAGAACCGCGTTTAGTGTGGCTTCCGCTGTGATCTCGGAATGTCTGATTGGTTTCAGCAGTTTCACTGGAGGGTGTAATGACCCCGCCAAGCTGGTGCTCTTCCCGGGGAGAACTAATTGTGTGTGAAGCGAATAACGTACAATGGAAATACCTAGTTTCCCTTCCGATCCAGAGGGACAAGTTATGCCAGATGACTGGACCCTTTTCCTAGGCCGACTTTGCTAGCTATCACCCTGAGCACTGAAGAGCTGGGTGTCTGGCCAATCACATCAGCCAGCGACCCAGTGTGTGTGGGGTCTGTGGGTCAGGGCAGAGTGCAGGGAGGCGCTCACTCCAGGGCGCCAGGGCTGGCCCTGCTGTGCTGGGTGACCGAGCTCGGGCAACCCAGCCGGCCACCGCCCAGAACAGCAAATGCTCAGGATGAGGACGGACCGTGTCTAAAAGGCGTGGTGCTCAGCCTTGCCTTTCAGGCCTTACGTGATTGTTTTGTTCTGAGCTGACAGTGTATACAGCAAAAGGGAAATGTGTGGGAGGAGGTTGGGAATAAGGAAAAAATAAAATCAATAGTGGAGAAAAAGGTAAGCAAATTAATATTTGGACAAGTGAATGTATTAGAACCTCCGGGTGTAGTTCAAGTAAGTTGGCACAATGACTATGCCCATGCCTCTTGTTGATAACACGTATACTTGAACTTGAACAACACTGGGGTAGGGGCAGTGAACTGCACACAGTTGAAAATCCGCATATAACTTTTGCCTCCTGAAAAACTTCAGCGTTGCTGATCAGCCCTGGCTGATGTGGCTCAGCGGATTGAGCACAGGCTGCAAACCAAAGGGTCGCTGGTTCGATTCCCAGTCAGGGCACATATCTGGGTTGCAGACCACGTCCCCAGTGAGGGCCATGTGAAAGGCAACCACACATTGACGTTTCTTACCCTTTCTTTCTCCCTCCCTTTCCCTCTCTTGAAAAATAAATAAAAAGTCTTTAAAAAAAAAAAACTTCTGTCTTTCCTCGGTATCTGTGGGGGATTGGTTCCAGGATTCCCTACAAATACCAAAATCCACAGATACCCAAATCTGTGGATGTTCCAGACCCCTTATAAAGTGGCCAAGGCACACCACAGTTTTGAGCTACCCATTTGGATAAACTGGCTTCCCCTAAATAAAGACGAACTCTGACCCCCAGTGAGCAGGAGGCCTCAGGACACCACTCTCCAAAAAAAATGGCCTCGGGACCGCCCTTCTGCTCTTGCCCCAAAAGGAGATGGAAGGGGTTACAACTCGTGCAGCTAATAAGCGAAGGAAAGATACGCTCACTCTTGGTTGGAGGCAGCCTGTTCTAAATATAACAGGAGAAAACTGGCTCACACTCAATAGTTCAATGGGATTTCTATTTGCACTTCTGCAGAACAGAGAGAAGACTCCTCGGGCTTTAGCTCCTGGTCTACAGGTGCCGATTAAAGATACAGAATGAAATGTCACTCCGAGGGCCAATTATATTCCCCCTGGGGACTCGGGAGGCCATCTGAGGCGGCCTGATTCCTTGTTGCTCACGCTGTTCCCAGGCGGGTGGGCAGCCTGAGGGAGCTGGGGCCTCAGCAAGGCACAGGATGGAGGAGAGGGCAGAGCACAGACCAGGGGCACCTCCTCTGTGGGGACCAGGGGGACTGGAGGAGGAAGGAAGCTGGGCTATAGGCCATGCTGTTGTTGGAAAAGCGTGCTTCTCGAGAGCAGCCGGCTAGCTCCTTTGTTGTTCAAGAACTCCAAACACTATGTTTTGGCTGAGATTTGAGTAAGGGGTGATGGAGGGGAGTGACTAGAGTGGCAGGCCAAGCAGGGGAAAATGACACCCCAAGATGTATATCACTATAGAGTAAATTCTTTTTTTTTAGAGAGAGGGAAAGGGAGGGAGAAAGAGAGGGAGAGGAATATCAATGTGTGGTTGCTTCTTCCACTACTGGAGACCTGGCCAGCAACCCAGGCATGTGCCCTGACTGAGAATCGAACCGGTGACCCCTTGTTTAGCAGGCTGGCACTCAATCCACTGAGCCCCACCAGCCGGGGCCATTAGGGTAAATTCTTAAAAAGTCATTGGGGTAAAAAAATACGCCTAAAGAAGCATACTGTATTTAAGTGACATAAAAGGAAATAGAAAGCAGGAGAACGAAAGGATACATAGAAAATATCAAGGCAAGAAGTGGCTAGATTCATTATCTTTGCCATTAGTTGGAGAGGCCCATGGGGCTGGAAGGAATTAGTGATTAATGAAGTTCATTTGAATAAATAGCCCAACCTAAGAGCAAGCTGCTGATTTTGTGGACTGTTTCTGAAAGTGTAAATGAATCACGTGTCTCCTTGCAGAATGCCATGTACAACAGGGAGTTTCAGGAGAGAAACGCAGGTGTGAGACGGGGGTGGGCCGCCTCTGTCCTGGTCTGTTCTGTTTGTTTCCCCGGGGCCATGACTCTTCAGCTCTCGCACAAAGAAATGATTTATTTCTAACCACGGGGCATGCGAGGTAACAGCAGAGTTTGCCGGCTATGATTTCCAAGCACAAAGTTAACATTCGTCTCAACTTGACCGCACCAGAGCCTTCCGTGTGAATTAGACTGCTCCCCGCCCCCCCGCCCCCTGCACTGTGAATTATGCAATGGGTCCTTGGCCCTTCGGTCCAAGCTGCGTGTCGAGAGAGATAATCAGAGTTCATTAGAACACAAACAGGGCTCTGTATGTCAGCACAGGCTAATGTTTTTTTTTTAAAGGGTAACTATTCACCATGTGGTCTGGATGAAATCTGAATTTGATTATTTCTCTGTTCCTCATGCGTTATAAAACGGCATACGATTATTAAGAGAAAATAGCCACTGCAAGATCGGCTTGAAATACATTCTCAGCCCTGCTGAAACGAGAACAAATGTTTTGTTATTCCCATTAAGTACACAGCAGTTCATCACTGTGTCCGCAGTCTAGCTACAAATCTCCTAATTCTTCCCCTCCTTGTGGTTTCTCAGCAAAGGAGACATCGAACAGCCTAAAGAAGAAGGTGGTTCCCATTTATGCTTCGGAACAGGGTGCATGGAGCTGGAGAAAACCCAGGGAGTGAGGTGACGACTGTAAGAACGGAGCTGGGTGATCCAGGGGAAGGCACAGCTGGCCCCCCCGGGGCAGCGTGGGTGGCTTTGCCGCCCCTCTGTCGTCTCTCTCAGTCTGTTCGAGAAAGGCACACACACCCTCCAACGCGCTCTGCGAGAAGAGCAGCCGACAACGACGGCTGCCATCTCATACCTTGACAGATGGGCAGGTTGTCCCACGTGCCATCGTCGCGACACAGCGAAACCAGGTTGTACAGGTTGGGGTAACGGATCTTGAACCCGTCTCGACAAGCGATGATTAGCTTATCTCCGTATCTGTAGGTCTTGTTATGAATCTCGGCATCTTCGATTTGAGGGATGCGGCAAGCTGCAAGGGTGCAAACAGCATGCACGAGTTTGGGCACTGAAAACGGTTGTGATGCATGGCTCCTCGAGAGAGCTCTGATTTTCAGACCTGGTCTCAGCCACCAAAGGAACCGAGTTTCCCACCTGTGACACCACACACTGCACAGCTGAGCTCAGGGATGGTTTTGAAAATACGTGAAGAAACCCCAGAGTTGAGGGTCCACCCAAACTATCCACCCAGTTCCAATCTTGGCTGTGTTTGTGAACAGCACACAGCACGGGGCAGCTTGTTTGGCTGCCCACCCCCACCCCCGGACCCCATCATGTCTCCCCCAGTCACTACTGCCTGTGGGGTGAGGGCCTGGGCCTCATAAGAAAAGGTGCTTTGCAGAACTGCAGGGGGCGAGCCTCGGCTGCATTAGCTGTCGGCATTCCCCACCCACCTTATCTGTTTTGCAGAAGGTCATCCACAGAGCAGCGGACCACCACTGCCAATCGCACCAAGGCTCAGAGCAAGCCACCTACCGCTGCCTGCTCGTGGAGTCGGAGCAGGATGCTGGTGGATGGGAACGGGAGGGGCAGGGGCCAGGCTGGGAGCCCACATGGCCTTGGAGGGTTGGAGGCCCAGCGACAGAACGGGCAGAAGATAAAACAAAACCAACCCGTTATAACTACCCCTGTGTAACCCTCTCTACACCCAGCTGCCCACACAGGCCATTCCGTTCTGTGCTGCCAAGGTGGGACCCTGCTCCCTCTGCCCACTCCCGCCCTAAGCACCATCCAGCCAATCCCATCTAAGTCCCACTGGCCCACCACCTGTCTCTCCCTCTCCTATTGGCACATCTCCATTTAATATCTCTGATCCTCCAGGCCTGTGGGCTTGTAAGCTGGAGGTATGTATTTCTACTGCTGGAGTCGCATGGCCCTGACCTACAGATGAGTCACAGTCCAGGTTTGCTGCTTCTAAACTTTTTGAAACAAGGCGAAATCCAAGGACAGCACTTTGGCAATCGAAGAAACTTCCTCCAGAAATTTCCCAATGCTCTAAAAGAGTGTAGGTTTCTCAGCCACCCCGAAAGCCTGCAGAATCCACGACATGGTTGGAAGAGTATCCTGATCATGTTCCTCTGAGCTTTGAACCGTCGGCTCCGAGGCGCTGGGCCCCCAGGGGAACCCTCACGCAGAGGGAAGAGGCGGGAAGGAGCAGTGGCTGGCTGGGGGAGGGCTCAGGTGGCTGCGATCCTGGGTGGCTTTAAAGAGAGCCTGTCCCAGGAGCTTTGATGTGGGCTGGGGCTGGGCTGACTGGGTGCAAGGGGGAATCCAGCAACCACAGGCTCTGGGAAATGGAACGTCAGTGGTGGGAAAGCCTGGGACAGAAGGGGGCCGCCCTGGCTGGGGAGGACCCTGAGAGCTGCGGACCAAGCAGTGGTGGCCATCCTCTGTCTCGCATCGGTTGTCAGAGGTCAAGTGCCGCCTTGGCCAGGTGGCTCAGTTAGTTGGAGCAGTCGGAGTGTCATCCTGTACACAAAGGTCACGGGTTCGACCTCTGGTGGATGCGCGTACAGGAGGCAACCCATCCATGTTCCTCTCTCTTTCTCCCTAAAAATCTATAATAAACATCTCCTCTGGTGAGGATTATAAATCTATCAATCAATCAGACACTGTCAGGCCCAGGTCTGCCTTTAGCTCAGCCCTCGGCACCCCCATTAGCTTGAGAGCAGGGATGACCACCCTCTCCCTGACATTTCTCCCAGGCCCCCAGACCTGTGTATACAGGGGGCATAGGAGAAATTCTGGGGAGCACCGTGGGGCCCTCTGCCCGAGAAACCTTGAGCACCTGGCCCTGCAGGAATCTGACGGACGGGCTCTCGGGGCAGCCCCGGGAGCTAAACCCTCCCCCACCGAGGAAACACACGAGTAGTCGACTCTTTGCCTCTGGACCGCAGCAGGGGCAGCCGTGGCCGGAGAACTGCGTTCCCTCATCTTTGCGTTTCAGGCTGTGGAAAGGCGACTTCTAACTGTTCAACGTTCAGACAATAGGTTTTCCCCCAGACTAGCTGAATTTCCCTAAGCCCCTCCCAAGACACTCCTGCCTGGAGCCACTGATAACTGACGTGCCTGTGCCCACCGTGGCGGCCCCCTTCATGATGGAAAGGGTGGGTTCCGCTTTTTTCCAGCATCACTATGCAGAAATGATTCACAGCAAATAAACACACATTTATCAAGGCATCCGCCCGTAAAATCTTGGCTGTGAATAGGTCCTATGGCGGTAATTTATATGACTGACTGTTTTCATGATTGATTTAAAATGTATTCAAGAATTAACCAGTACACTCAGGAGGTGGCCGGCTGTAGCGAGTCAATTCAATGGACAGAAATGTTTGTTTGGACGTGGGGAACATGGGAAGAGTAGCTGACCAGGAGGAGAAGCCCCCAGGCCTTCTCTGCATCATGCTCTATAATACAGAATGCTTTGAACTTGGAACTAGAGCTCCGTGTCCAGAAGCAGGAGCTGGAGATGACTACAGAGCGGATCACATGAGGTTCAAAGGGAACTCACAGCCTCCCAAATCGCAGTAACCATGCACTTGGCTAAGAAGGGTCACCACAGGGAATGAGCGACACAGGACCAATTGATTGTGTAAGAGGAGCTACATCTTGAGTGGGAACTCAGACGTCAGAGTCAATATCCCACCAAGGTAGGGGGGCCGGGAGGGGCTGTGCCCTAGTGACCAGGACAAAACTGAAACAGGCCAGCTCTAGCAAAACCTAAAGCTAAACCTTGACCATTGTTTCATCCATGGTGCTGGCACCTAATCCCCCCAGATGTCGTCGGCAGCAGCGAACAACTACGGGCCTTATTTCGATGGATGGGAAGAAACCAGGAGCTTTAGTCTCTGAAAAGATAGGTGTCATTTTTATCAATTCTAAAGTATCAAATAGAAAGAACATGATTTTCTATATAGCACAAATTCACCTGGTTTCCAGGAGGAATTTTTAGAAGCCACTTAAAAAATACTGTTACCAAGGACTATGAAAAACACCGTCTATTATAACGCCTGATTCTGGCAGGTCGAATCTAGTCAACAGTCAAAACTTAAGCAGATAGGACACAAATGGGTACTTTGGGGATATAATGTTCACCAGCTTACCGCTCTCATTATTTTTTTGTATTCTGTTCTAGTAACAATGGGGATTTAATAGAATAAATAAATAAAAGGGGACCAGTAAAAGGTCCTAAGGTAGTACTACATATTTATAGATAAGTACAAATTAATTGATCAGATTAGTTAACAGAGAGCAGAGTCCTAAAGGATTAAGCAGAAATAATAAAAGAAATTTTAAAGAATAGGACCTATGTGATAGGTTTGCTTTTTAAAAAAAAATGTTATATGTGGATACAAATCTGATTCCCTAAAAATACCAACTTTTGACATCAATCCTCCCCAAAAACTGTTGCCAGGAACTTGAATACCTGATACATGCTCAGAGATTCACAATTCCTGTTGGCATGCTAAAGGTTCTGAAGAAAGGCTTTTGTTCAAGTTAGCATCTGTAAGGCTTATTATTTTTTCACCCATTGGTTCACTCATTCGGTAAATTACTGAGCACTTCTCCAGGCCTGGCATGTTCTTGGTGCTGGGGGTAGAGAAGAAGTCAGGAATCTTACTCTGGGTCACACGAGGCCAAGGTAAGTTAAACTCACAATCATAGCATGTTTGGGGGTGCACAGTCCCCGGCTGAGTGCTCACCATGGGAAGTGGTCACCGTGCCTCTGGAGAGAGGTCTCCGCCGAGAGGGTGGGAAGAGGTGGCGGGCTTCCGGGGCACCAGCAGCGTTCTAGGATGGTGGTGATGTGGGTGTTTGCTTTGTGGTAACTCACAAAGCAAACTGTTTGGTTTTGTGTGCTCTTATACACGTTATAGTGCATGAATTTTTAAAAGGTTAAAACAACAACAACAACAACAACAACAACAACAGCATTAATCCAGAAAGAAGAGTAAGGAAACTCACTGAAAATGATGTGATCGTTCCCAACTACACTCGGGGCCTCTGGCCTATCAGTAGAGTGCGCTTCACAGAATTTGAGGAAATAATGACTAAGCTTATTGGGGGTGGCAATTACATTTCCAAAAGCATAAAACCTTGATTATTTTCCAGAAAACATTCTGGAGGCAACTTGGCCTCTTGTGCAGATACACAGTTTGTTGGAGAAATGGGGTTTAGTTCAGAGAGTTTTGCCCTGCAAGACAAATCTTCCTGATGTCCTGCTTTTTCTTGACAAACGGAGCTTTAACTATTTTACCTTTGAAGAAGCTTTCCCTTTCAACAACAAGGAAGTGCCAGAAAGCACTTGGTTGCCAGAACTGAGCTCAAGAGAAAAATAAAAAAGGCAGTTCAAATGTCATTCTCATGGGCTGACAACTTGCAGAAGTTCCACCCTACATCTTTTTTTTCCATTTGTTTCTTTTATTTTGCTTACAAGATATAAAATTTCATAATATGAATAGAAAAAAAAAGAGGTGGCAAGTATTGAAAATTCAAACTTATGGCTCCACCCTACATCTTGATTTTTAAGTGCCTATGGCAAGTATCGCAAGTAGCACCAAGGTGCCTCCTAAATTCAGACCCCTAGGGCACAAAAACTGGTAACAGTAGGCCTGGAAATAAGTGTGCATCTTTAGCATGCCCCTTGGGCAATTCCCACAAAGTCAAACATTGAGAACCACTGCTTGATAGATAGGTAAGGTGACTGACTAGATCAGTGATTTTCAACCACTGTGCCACAAGAATTTTTTTTTAAGATTTTATTTATTCATTTGTGACCAGGTCCCACAACCCAGGCATGTGCCCTGACTGGGAATCAGACCAGTGATCTTTCAGTTCACAGGCTGGCACTCGATCCACTGAACCACAACAGCCAGGGCACATAAGAATTTTTAAAACATGCACATCTAGCTATGTAGTCAGGGTTGGTGACCTCTTTTCCCATTGACTGTCAAATAAAAAAATGACAACAGC